CACTCCTTTTTGGGTAACCTCGGTGATATTCTTGGATGCGCTCATCTTCATGGTAATTTCGCGTTTCTCACGGCCTTGGGTGAATTTGATGGCGTTGGTCATGAGGTTAATCAGAACCTGCCTCAGCCTAGATGGATCCAACTTGACCCAGTCGACAGCGTGAGTGCTGTAGGCTTTGTCTACCGAGAAGTCTAGCTTGATCTCATGTGTGTTTAACTCCGACTCGAACATCTTGATGACGTGTTTGACAATCGTGACCGGATGCGAGTCGACGGGTGTCACAAGCAGAAGTTGCGAGTCGAGCTTCGAAAGGGTAAGCACATCATCGACAATACGTTTCTGATGGCTGGCGCATAGGTTGATGGTGCTGGCGGCTTCGGTGCAGCTTTCCAACAGGGTGTCGAGTTGTGTCGGATCCTGCGGTTGAGCGCGGTACTCTGTGATACTGTTGACGATTTCATCAGCACACTGGAGGACCGCACTCAATGGATTCCGCATTTCGTGACTCGTGATGTCGATGAAGTTCTCTTGTTGGCGTTTGAGCTCGACTGCCTCTTCTCTGCGTTGCTTCTGGAAATCCTCGGCCCATTTTTGAGGCGAAATATCGGTGATGCAACCAAAGATACTCTTCAGGTCGCCCTCTTGAGTCTGCTCTGGGAAAGCACTCATGAGGACCCAGGTATCGATGGTGTTCATCCCGTTCTGGCGGCTGCATTTGAACCTAAACTCAATGGTGATGGCTTCCTTGTCTTCAATGAGCTTCCTCCAAGCAAGTTCGACGCCCGATCGATCTTCATCCCTCACACTTTGCATCCATGTGTTGACACTGTCTTCTGTTCTGGGATGCCTGGAAATTTGCCACCACATATCGTTGGCAAAGTTGATGAGGCCCTTGTCGTTAGCAATGAACATGCCGACCGGTGCGAATTCTGCCATTCGCGAGAACTTGTACTCGCTCTCGACTGCCTCTTGTGTTCTCAAATAGAGTTCCATTTGCAATTCTTGACGATCCATCGCGGCCAAGCGAGCAGCCCTCTGTCCTCTTCTGATCTCCTCTTCGAAAAGTACGACCGATGCCATGGACGTCGCAAGTTGTCTCGACAAGAGATGGATAAAAAGCTGATAGTCTTCGTCATAGGGTCGACGGGGGTTGGTGCCCAAGACGATGAAGCCAACGACCGACTCACCGGCTGTGGTAGGGTGGACAGGCAAGATAACGATAGTCCTACTTGGGTCACCGAAGCCTCGCCACTCCAAGCCTTCAAGTAACTTTGCTGGCAGGTTGCCAGCTTCCGACGAGAGAATGATGGGTGCACCTTGCATCGTCATAGACTGGCGCATATAGGGAGCGAAGCCATCGTCTGATGACTTTAGGTCGAGCTGGGGTAGCCCAGCTGGGTGTCCCTCTGGAACGCCCAAGCTGCCCTCGAGGTGTAATAATGGTGGGTGTGCTATGCTTCCAGAGTGCATAGAAGATACTTCACTCTCGCTATTGTCTTCCTTCACGGAGTAAATGAGGGCAAACGGTACGTCCAAGTCGTTGAACTCCAATCCATCCTTGACCCGCGGCCAGAAGCTTCTGACGTCCTTGGCAGCAGCTGTCTTCTCGCCCACCTCTCGCAAAGTCAACATCCGGCGTTCGTTGACCTTGCGGCGGGTATTTTCGAAAGCCGGATTGTAGAGTCCGACCACCTGGCCATCAGAACCCAGTAATGGGATGATTGACCATGAAAAAAACGTCTCCTCGAGGAATCCGTGTCGAAGGATGAATAGCTGGTTGTCGTTCTTCATGATTGACTGCCCATTTGTCCAAGCATTATTGAACAAAGGCTCGATATCCGACCAGATCTCTTTCCATGCGTCCTGATACCGCATGCCCATGAGTTGAGGGTGCTTTTGTCCGGCAAGCTCAATGTAGGCCTCATTGTAGATGGCGACATTGTCCCGTCCCCAGTACATGGCCGCAGGGTGGGGACTACCCATAACCATGTTGGCCATGGCCCTCAATTCTGAACTCCAGTGCTCCAACGGACCCAATGATGTGGAGGCCCAATCGGTGTTGCGACAGAATAGGATATGTTCACTCAAATCCGGGGTTGTTTGAATGCGGGTCCAGTCAAACGATGGCCTCATCATCGCTGCTTGGAAGACCTGTTGGGTGAACTCGTCAGTGTGGTACTTCTCACCACTGTCTATCATCACACAATCGTCAACGACAATTGGTGTGTCGTCCAGCTCATGCGGCTCCCCTTCCATATCACCAAAGTAATCGGGTTCGTCATCCATGGGTACAATTGATGGCTGATTTGGTGTCGGCCCTCTACTCCGCTGTTCCAGCACCGCTGATTCATCAGCTAACGGAGGCGAGTCTGCTGGTACTGATACGGCGCTAGCGTTGCCGCTCACGAAGCGAAATCGTTTGCGCAAGGTTGAGCATGTCCATGTGATGCCACCATAGCTGTGAGAAGGAAGGCAGACGTCAAGGGATTCATGGTTCAAGACGAAGCTCGTGGCCCACGTTTTGAAGTTGATATAGTCGGGGTTCTTCATGACATCGTCACCCTCCACAGAAAGCAATTCCAAGACACCCACGGAAGCCCTGAGCGCCGCATTGGCGTATAGCAAATGCAGTCCCGTTTTTTGCGCGTTGACGGGATTTGCGAGATCGATGATGAAGGTTGGACGCTCATCCTGTTCCAAAAGTTCGATCACGCCAACTCCTCTCAAAATTTGCAGTCCTTGAGGAAGATGCTGGCTATTTGGGCTCTTTGAAGAGGTTAGGGTGGCGTCTGCAGAAGATAGACTACTGCTCCCCGGCGTACTCCCAGATCTTGCTGATGTTTGTGCATGAACGGTTCCGCGGGGTAGGCGAACAGTGTGAACGCGGTCTTGGTCCTCCCTCAGACGAGCTAGCAGGACGGCTGCAGCGTCGGAGGGAGGGAGAGCAGCTGGTCGAGGCGGCATCTGTCGTTTGTTGTTTGAGGAGAAGAACAGAGGGGAGACGACCCCTTGGTTGTGCCTAGCCAGAATGACTGACGCAGTTGGTTGTTTTGGCAGCTTAATGTGCCCTGGTGGCCCCAGTCGAGTTCGCGCCTTCTTCAGAGGTGACGGGTTTGGTCGTTCGTGTGCGTTTTCGTCGTCGGACAGGCGCTTCCCGTTGGACGTTGAAGGTCTCGACAGATGGGTAGATTCTGTAAACGACCTGATAGTCGGAGAGGTCGGGTCCGACCTGGGGGTCAGGAGCGTCTTAGACGCGGCGTCGAATGAGGGATCGCAAGTAGTGTCGCTATACGTCAAACCATACCGACTAATGTCGGGAGTTGTCCATGACCCTCCGGGGCTCAATGTCGTCGAGGTGGGCGAGGCGGGATGGTAACGTGGGTTACTTGACTGCGGCTGTGAACCCGATCGCTTGTGGTTGACGTTCGTGTTGGAAGAAGAAGAAGATACGGCGGCTGTAGAAGCCTCGGGTTTCGCGGCGGCGGTGGTGGAAACGGTAGCGAACGGGTCAGCCGTCGTCGGTCTGGCCGTCGTCGTCCTCGTCGTCGGGTTCGTTGCCGTGGTCGGAGTTGTGGTGATGTTTCCGGGGGCGTGGTAGGGTCGGTGTGTCGAGGGCAAAGGGGGAGCGAGGAGTCGTATCGTGGATTGGGGGAAGCGATCGTCACCCTGCGGCATGAATGCGCGGGGGGAGGGAGTGAAGATGAGGTGCGGCCGAGAGAGTCGGTCCGTTCAAGAAATTTTCGTCTCGGGCCTCCTTCTCTATGGATGTCTTCCCCTGCCGAAACTAAAATGATTCCTTTTTAGCGACGGCGGAGACGGGAGTGAAGCAAGTGCAGAAGTAAAGGCGCACGGCAAGCACAGACACAGTGGACGATGACACGGGGGGAAGCGGGAGCAGCAGTTTGCAGGACACGGGTGAGCGAGCGAGTGAGGGTAACCTAAGCCCAGGTGCCGCGGGAAGGGAAAGGCTTAGGCGGGCAACGCTACCTTAGTCAGGTAAGGTAGGTAGGTATCCGTAGGTAAGTGAAATTCGGGTATTCCCATAGAAGAGAGGAGGAGGGGGGCAGTGAGCTAGCGGTAAGAACAATAGAAGAAAAGAAAACACCGACAGGGAGATGCCAGGCCAGACGGGCGCTGTGTGCTTTGCTACCCTAGCTGACCTTGCAACCGGGGTACAGGTGGTTGGCGAGCGAGTCGGGTATTGGGGGATCGAGATAGAGCGAGGGTTTGACGGGCCCGGGCCATGAACAGGAAGGGGAAAGGCCTGCAGCAAAAAGAGTCTGGAAGGGACGGACGCCTGGATTGGGATTCGGGGAAGGGGAGTGACTGGGAACATGCGGGCTTGATCGGGGCGCGCCTGAACAGGGTAGGCAAGGTGAGTTAGGGTAAGGTGGGATTGAGCCTCGAGCCTTGAGGTGCAAGTACGACGGATACAGCCAGCGACTGGGGGTGATGGGTGATGGGGATTTTGGGGGTTGGAGACGAAGGTTCCATAGGTAAGGTAGGGACTGACTGTACGGAGTCCTGTCAACTGGATAGGTAGGCAAGGTTTGGCCCGACACGGTCGATACAAGATAAAAGCAAAGTAGGCAGATGGCAGCAGGGCTATACGAATAAAGGAGACAATAATGACTTGTCGGACTTGGACGGCGACAATGGGACTGCCACTATCGCAGCCACAGAGACGAGACGGCCGGAGTAGGTAGTAGCCCAAAGTTGTGGGATGGTCAACCGGAAAACACTCCGAAAGCGTGTCATCGTCAATCTGGCAGTCCGAACTTTGGGAGGGTGCCACCACTACGGCAGCCGCCGTTGAGTGTCATAAGGCATAAGGGACGGCAGAAGCAAACGATCAAGTGCCGTGACTAGAAGGGAGTAGAAGGAAAGAGATGAATTACCAGGATGAGGTCGAATGCGATCCAGGGTGTACCTGCAATCTACACCACACACGAGGTGCGGTGTATGAGATGATGGCACGGGCGAATGTGATGGTTCTGAAGCTACTGGAACTTAAGCACAACGAAGGGGACCTGCTGCTGCTGCTGCTGCTGCTGCTGCTGCTGCAAGGCGTGGCTACGAAGGTGCCTTCAAACGTGCTTCGTGCAGTTCTGGTCAGATTGCGGCAAGCCGCAAGACGAGAAAGCAAGGTCAAGCCCGTAGAGGTCGGAGCGGTAAAGGTAGGCAGGCGGCCCGTTGAAGACGACTTGAGGTGTGAGTGAGGCGTAAGGCGAGCGAGCGGCTGACGATGCGATGGCTCCGAGGTGTGCTCTGCTGGTCTGGTCTGGTGGCCTGCTGCTAGGTGCTGACTGGACTGCTCTGCGATGCTGCGTTAAGGTGATTGATTGTGTTTCCGATGGTTGGAGCGGTGGATAGGTAAGAAGATGTACGTGGAGATCGAGGACGTAGGATGGAATCGAGAGATGGTACAGAAAGGCGGAATGGGAATCTCGATGTCGAAAGAGGAGTCAGTGCGAGGGCACGCCGTGTATTGGTTAATGTTTGGGGAAACGTCTGTCCTTCTTCTCTCGTGCTTTGGTCCGGTTTAGGACCTTTGGGACTTGGACCGGATTGGAATGGTCCCGCGAAAAAAAAGCTGAGATATGGCGCCGGGGGGTGGACTACTAGTAACTATTACTGTAGGTGGGCGGGCATGATTATGCGAATGGATCTAACGTGTGAGGTGGGAGAGTCTAGAAGTCCAACAAACTGCAGAGGACCTTGCAGAAGGACGAATGTATGTACGTCGGCTCCTTTCTTGGCAGCTGGCAGTGACAGAAATGGGGATGATGTGCAACTGGGGGTCTGGTCTGGTCAGGCTGTGAGTGGCCGTCAGGTAACAAACTAAGGTAATTCGAAGGCCGAGGCGGTATGGCAGATTGGGGGCTCGGGGTCTGTGGAAGGGACCAGAAAAAGAAAAGAGAGAAAAAAAGACGTGGGAGTTTGGGACTGGGAAAGCGAATTGGACAAGAATTGGAAATGCATGACGAGAGGTGACCATGAGGTGGAATTATCAAACAAATGGGAACCGTACCCTTGATACCTGGTGCATACTTCGAGCCTTCCTTCCAACGGGGCTATCCCGCTGCGGAACTCCTTCCTTCCCGTTCATTCTTCCCAACTCGAGGTCGTCCTCTCCCGTCCTTCCTTCCCTTTGCTATCTCTCTTGATAGGTAGGCACGGTAGGTAGGTAGGTACGATCGGCATCGCGTATTTCCGTACCTTAGCTACATTACTACCACAAGCCACCAGAATTGATGTATCCGATAATGCCATTTGCTTCGTCTCACTACTTTACCTTTCCACTCACTTCCTTCCATCGCTCTTGACACTGGCAAATACATATATGCACACACACGCATACTCCATGTCCATCTATGCATCTCATCTTGTCTTCTTTCCTGAGTAAGTGAGTAAGGTAGCCCAGTCGTCAACAGCACTGACGGAAGCATCAGTTGACGTGAAGAATGAAGGCTCCTCGATCCCAATGGACTAGCGGGCCGTCCAGCGATGACAAGACACAAGTTGTGTGCCGGTGTATATACGAGCTCGCCCGTTGCGCTCACACAGGTAGCCCTCTCTCTGCACATGTGAGGAACAACCTAAAATGGGTGTGAGGAATCAAAAAGAAAGGGCGGATGGGATGAAGGCTCTGGCGGAGACTAGGACTGGGGGCGGAGCTGTCGGCTGGTATCCGCACTCCATAGGTAGCCCGTGGACCGCACTGCAGGCACGCCGCACAGCTGGGGCCTGGGGGTGGTGGTGGTGGCATTGTGGATGGACTGGACGGCAGCGTGGTATTTTGGACCCGGTCTAGAATCTCTGGACTTCTTGGGTTCTGCGCCTTGGCCAAGACATTGCTCCCAACCTTGGCTTTGCTGCTTCCAGACATGGACACTCCCAGTTCCACACCAGGCATCAGACGACCTAGCCAACTTCATCTGCTTTACCTCATGCCAATCGCCAACCCAGCCGTAACTCGGTGACCTTTTCTAACCATTGGAACTTCACAACTAGGTATCACCGGCAGTGTCCGATTATCTTCCAAGACAGGTACAAGTCAAATCGTGAGTAATCTGCTGTCTTCGTGTCTCCACGGCCCTAATAAAGCCTACGCAGTTAGGTAAGGTTTCGTTGTCCACCAAAAGGCCCAAGCTTGGCCCACCTCAGTTGGTCATTCCGCGTATGGAGAATTGGAGATTTACAACACCTTTACAGATACACAAGATGTTAATATCTTGTGCAGATATCTAATGGCTCGGCATACACAGTAAACATGTTGCCAATGCAACTTGGAGACAACTTGCGCCGGCCAAATGATCTTCTTCATCTCTCCACAAGGCCGGGCAACGGCTCGCGTATCTCGCTCTTTTCACCCACTCCACCTCATAGGAATGCATCCTAGCAGACAGGCGCAGCTTCTTTTGAGTCATCTGGAAACGAAACAGGAAGCGATGACAAGAAAGAAACCGACACGGCGCACATTTCAAGAGCAAACAGACCCAAAGATCCGTCCGCTTCTGTCCTCGCGGCTTCTCGCTTCGCCCCGTAGTTCTGCGGGCTGCCTGCATATCCCGCGCAACTGCCATGCTATGCCGTTATTCCCTGTCATTACCCATCCATTACTGGATGACGAGAAAGAATGAAAGCTGAAGACGGCGACTAGCGCTTGTATCAAGATAGCTTCTCAAGCGGCAAGCCAGGTACCCGCCGAACTTTCCGTGACGCCCGGCACTTGGCAGAGGGCATACGTCAGTCCGAGTCAATCTGGTGCATGCCCAAGATAAACCGTGTGTGTGCTCAAGGTAGGATGTCTCTCGCATTCAATCAAAGAAGAGGGTTTTGAACATTCCACAAGCCTAGCCGAAAGGTTGCGCCGTCGTCAGCAACGGCGTAGATGCAGCAAAGCGAACCCGACGGATGGCTTCGAAATGTCTGGATGGGAAAGAGCCAACAACGAGCCAAGCATTGGGATTGGATCAATGGATCAATGGATCCGAGAGGGAGCTCCACTCCACACGTCCCAGGGCAGGGCAGGGTTCCGCTTAGTACTTGGGTACCTGACCATGTAATGGATCCGTACCAGAAGGGAAAGAGCCCTGGTCATCCGCTCTCCCCTGTCGGTCTCGAACTGGCGCGGTCCAGACCGTGGTCGCCCCCACTCCGAGCTCGCCGATCGATGATCGTCACCTGCCATTCTCATTGGCCCCAATCCGGAAGGAAGCTCCTGTCAGTTCTGTCAGTCTCTTGTCAGGAAGCAGTCACAGCTCACTCACGAGTGTCAACTTCCACGTCGTTGGCTTGCAGACGTAGATGCAGAAGCAGGCTCCTCCAGTCGTTAAGTCTTCATTTCCTGTTTGAATGCTGCGGCTCCGTGACCCCCAGCCTGACCGCCGCAACATCCCAAAAGTGTGAATCTCACATTTTGACATGTCAACATCCAACTACGGATGCCTACCTTCGAATAGGTACCAACCTATTGCCCGCAGATCAACGTTCAGCAGCTTTGCGACATGGGTCTTTCAATCTGTCTCAGTTGCTGTTCGCATCCGGGCGTTACTTTCGAATTTTGATATCCCTACCCCAGAGACGAGGCACCACCTGGCAAAAGAACAAGCAAAAGAACACAGCCTGGAATACTCCGTACTGTATCAATCTATGCGCCAACTGCCTTCGACCAAGACACCTTCCTCGTCCTCAAGCGATTCGGGAGAAAAAGGACGAGATAGTAGCGCCTCTATCCGTATTCTCCTCATGCAGATACCTCGCGCCTGGTGCATCTCCTGCGTCCATAGCAGTGACGCCGCTGTCACCCCAAAGCAGTCATCATACGATGACGCCGGCCTACTGTTGTCTGTTCCGGGCTCCGTGCGGAAGACTAGGCTGGCTGGGCTATACATTCAGCAACTGTCCCGGCACTTGGCTTCGCATTCCGTCATCGCGAAATACTTTCTCGAACCAGACAAGCAGAGATGTGGCTTACATACTCGCGACTGAACCACTGAACCCATAGTGTTGATCGCCTTGCAGGGTGGTTCAAGGGCTTTGCTATCTCCTTGGCGCCAAGAAGATCAAAAACCGTGAGGCCGTGGACCGTGATACTGTCGCACATTGTTCCCCGTACGAGGCAACGTTGGATTTCAGACTCTCCAAGTCTCACCTCGGATCCGGGCACCGCCCCGAGTCGCGACTGTCGGTGAAGGGATACAAGACTACATTCCCAGCCAGGGAGAATGCACTACCTATGCTTTCGAACCTGCGCGGGACCCCTTCCCGTTCAATAGCTCTCGCGACCTTGTCTCGGTCAAGATGTATGGTGACAGAGGGTGTCTTTCCTCCATCCATCTCATACGCCTTATTCCCGACCTGTATCCCTGCCACGTAAAATGTTACTGCTCTCGGTCGGCCCTCCCATTGGATGTTCCGCCAGGAAGGAATGCTTATAAACCCTCCGGACGATTTATCCCGTTATACGGTCCGCGATACTCGCTCAATGACCAACCAATCGCTCACATCCCTAAGTCACTCGCAAAACTACTGGACAGCGAGGTTCATGTCTAGTCTTTGGATTTGCGTTGTTCAAAAATAGTCGAACATCGGACTTATCGTTGTCTCCCGATCCTCAACAACGCATGCCACGAATCCAGCGGAACTTTGTGCAACCTCAGCAGGCCAGTCATTTTCGACACCGTATTTGATAGTCGCGGGTTGCAAATACCTGATCATTTGTATCATCGAACGGTTTGGTTCCGTTGGTCATGACGCAAGGAGAAATGGTCTCCCGGTCTCAATTACCTTTCAATGCCAGTCGGAGTTGCGGGGATCACAATTCCGATGTGAAATATGCAGCATTCCTCGCATCAAGAGAAGGAGATGTGCTCTGGTCCATCGCGAGGAACATTGTCTCGTTTCAAACCTCTCTCTGTACGCATGGGATTCTCATTTCCGATCCAGCGACAAGGCGCCATCGGCTCCGGCCGAGTTTAGTTTCACGGATAATCCGATCATCTACCTATCAGTGACGCAGCTATTCGTTGATGGACACAATACTTGTCTTTCAGCGGTCCGACTTTGTTGCCAGGCAGCCAGATATACGGATCGCCGCAGTTCACGTTGCAAAGACCTGGCATTTGTGGCTGTTGGCGAGCATAGTTGAGCGGGTCGCATGGTTCGTCCGACTGATCTGCGTGCACGCTTGTCAAGTCTAGTTTGACAGCTCAAACTCTACTAGAGACTCGGGTTTAAGTCAAACGACACGATCGATGTTGATAGACAGTGGCAATACACGTTCGCGGCCAAGACTAAGGATTGAAGAACCTGGCGGCCCCGAAATCGCATTTTGGTTCTCGTGGTACTTTCCCATCCCTCTCTGCCCCTCTATTAATATCTCTTTGGCAACCGCATCCTTTCACTGCCGGCAGATCAGATGGTCGCTCACATAAGCTCAAAAAAGCCCGCAAGCGTGGGATGCACCCACTTGTACGACTGCACTCCAGCCTTGTCTTACACTCCTCCGATCACCACCAGAGCCAGAATAGAGGCTTATTTTCGGTCGACCAGCACACCGGCTGAACAAGCGAATGCATGTAGTATGTAGTGCATACTGCCTGCTTGGTGTTTCGCCACACTTGCTGGCAGGCATACATTGTGGATGGTCATCAGAATGCGGCCTGCTCGGGTTGATGGTTAATCCAGCCGATTGCCTCCTAAGGTATTTGGTCGTCAGTCGATCCTTACCTGAGCTGGGGTATCAAGGCACTCCTCAACGTGCCAGTACGGTGCCGGCTTCTCGGATCCGGGTATCGTGGGAAGATGTGCCCAACGGGCGCTTATCATCATGGACCCCATGCGCGGTTCCAGCATCATCACAATCACGTTGTTGGTTTCAACCTCCGGGATATGAAGCATCCATCGTCGTGTGTCTTCTGCAGAAAGAAGGACAAGTTTGCTGACTTTTCTTGCTGGTATCCTGCTGCATCTGCTGT